ACTGCTCGCATGAATGGGGCTGCAAATGCCCGCAACGCTTGCACAAGCGGGGCCGTGAATGCCCGTGATCTCGCATCGATGCTCGTGCGAGTGGGGCTGTGTGTGTGCGCTCACCGGCCAGCCACTCACCTGTCCCTGTGGCCAATAGGCCGTGGCACAGGAGTGGTCCACGGCTCACAGGTTGGGGAGACCCCTGACCTATAATATCCTTATTGAAGGTTTAGGACAGGGGTAAGCAACCTTGGCTCTTTTTTGACTCGTGGACTTCAACTGCCAGAATTCCTGAGCCAGCCACTAGTCATAAAACAGCTAAGGTTGCCTACCCCTGGTTTAGGAAAACAGCCAGATCTTTAATGTTTTTGGGAATGCCAGCAATGTGGCTATCAGAGGGAGCCTCATTCCGGAGGACAGGTGCCACTGCAGAGAACACAAGCTTCCGATGTCCCAATAGATGACATTATTTAATTGAAGGGACCCACAGCCTTTTGTCCAATCAAACCAATTGGGCTAGTACAAAGGGAGATCGGTGGCCCTTTAAATACTCGGGTGCTGTGTCTTGCAGTGCTTTATAGATAACAATCAGTATTTAACTCACTTTAGAAGCATATCAGGAAATTCTTCTGTATTCTGGACCGGCTGAAACTTTGAAGTGGTTTTAAAGGGCATGTCGAATGCTTTAATGATTCATGAATGAATGAATTGCAATCTGGGAATGCCTCCAAGCCGGAATCCGAGGGGGAGCAGGACCCTGTTGAGGCCCAGGAGGAGGTGTCTGTGGCTTCGGAGGACTGTGGGGAAGAGCAGGCTGAGGCAGGCTAGGGCCCTTCAGGTTTGGAACAGGGGAGGCAGAGTTCAGGCGAGGAGCAAGCCCCCCCACCTGATCCTAGAGCAAGGAGAGCAGAGAGGAGGAGAGAACAATGTAGGCAGGCTCAATTACTCGGGAGGAGAGTAGCCTGCCCCACTCCACAAGGCACACCTGGGGATTAAGATTTAAGGAGATGCTGTGGGGTGGGGCATTTGCCGGGAACAAACGTGGTATCTTGGTTTCCTGCTTTACGACCGGCAGACTGCATTTCTGAGTCTCTCCTTGCAGACTGCAGGCAAGCTGAGATTTAAAAGGACTTATTAAGTTTCTGTTTTGTTTTCTTGTTATCTGTCTGGCCTTGAGGACATTGTATACTTCTCCGGCTGTACTGAAATTGCCTTCAGCCAGAGGCAGCTGAAAGGAACGTGTGTGTGTGCTTTGGTTGAAGGCTTGCCAGCATATGTGGGAGCTTTTGGGGAACATTGGCAGTTATTAAAGGACTGTTTCTCTTGCCAGCCGACCGCTTTGCCTCCATGCGGGGCCCTGGGTCATCACATTTTGTATCATATCTCTGAAATGGTATAGGGTCTTCTGCTTGAGCAGGTGTTTGGACTAGAAGACCTCCAAGGTCCCTTCCAGCTTTATTATTCTCTTAATCACAGCTCCTGCTCAGTGACATGGAAAGTCTTTGCAGAACTTCAACTGGAGCAAAATTTGCAATATTCTTGACTAGAGAGGTGCCCTCCGCTCTAAGGCCAGAAATGCAGTTCATTTAGTGACCGTTTCAAAGTTACAACAGTGCTGAAAAAATGGGACTTAGGATCCTTTTTCATATTTAACGACCGTTGCAGCAACCCCGTGGTCACGTTATCAAAATTCAGACAACTTGGCAACTGACTCGTATTTAGGATGGTTGCAGTGTCTTGGGGTCATGTCATCACCTTTTGTGTCCTTCTGGCGAGCTGAAGCCAGATTCACTTAACAGCTGCGATGATTCGCTTAACAACTGTGGCAAGAAAGGTTGTAAAGTGCAAAATTCACTTAACAAATATAATAATAATAATAATAATAATAATAATAATAATAATAATAATAATAATAATAATAATAATAATAATAATAATAATAATAATAATAAAGTTGGAAGGGACCTTGGAGGTCATCTAGTCCAACCCCCTGCTCAGGCAGGAAACCCTATACCATTTCGGACAAATGGCTGTCCAGTCTTTTCTTAAAAACTTTCACTGTTGGAACATTCACAAATTCTGGAGGCAGGTTATTCCACTGGTTAATTGTTCTAACTGTCAGGAAGTTTCTCCTCAGTTCCAGGTTTCTTCTCTCCTTGGTTAGTTCCCTCCGTTGCTTCTTGTCCTGCCTTCAGAAGCTTTGGAGAATAGCTTGACTCCCTCTTCTTTGTGGCACCCCCTGAGATATTGAAACAATGCTATCCTGTCACCCCTCGTCCTTCTCTTCATTTAACTAGACATCCCCAATTCCAGCAGCCGTTCTTTATACTGTATGCTTTAGTCTCCAGTCCCCTGATCATCTTTGTTGCTCTTCTCTGCACTCTTTCTAGAGTCTCAACATCTTTTTTACATTGTGGTGACCAAAACTGGATGCCGTATTCCAAGTGTGGCCTTAATGAGGCATTGTAAAGTGGTATTAACACTTCACGTGATCTTGATTCTATCCCTCTGTTATTGCAGCCTAGCTCATTTAGCAGCATAAATTTTGGGCTCAGTTGTGATCGAGAACTACCTGTAGATGTTTAGCAGAAGAAGAGATGGCATTGAGCCCATTTGCACCCTACAAAACAAAGGCCTAAGGAATGGGGAAAAATTATAAATTGATAATGTCAAACTTTTACAAAGAAAACGTATATAAAATGTTTTATAGACGGCACTTGCCACTAGCAAGTCTAGCAAAAATGTTTAAAAATATATCATATAGATGTTGGAAATGTAATCACAAGTCAGGTACTTATTACCATGTTTGGTGGACATGTGTTAAAGCAAAGAGATATGGGACAAAAATACATACTTGGCTAGAAAAGATGTTGGGAACACATGTAGATTTTAAACCTGAACTTTTTTTATTAGGTATAATGCCAGAAAAGCTTGACAAACAAAGTGTATGCTTGATTTTACATGTGATAACAGCGGCAAGGATCATATTCACACAATATTGGAAAAATGAAGAAATGCCACCAGAGGAAGAAATAATTAAAAAAAAATACTAGATTGTGTGGAAATGGACAGACTTTCTCTGAGGTTGAAAGAAAAAGAAGAAACATAATTTTTTTGAAACTTGGGAATTATTTTATCAATGGCTGGAGAAAAGAATAAGGGATTCGGAATTCAATCTGTATTAGTGAATGATAAACTCAGACAACATATTTGTTGAATAAGTACTTTTGATCTGTATTTAAAAAATCAATAAAAATTATCCAAAAAGGGAGGGGGGAAATGACCTCTCTCCCCATCAGCTAAGAGAGCCTGAAACTGCTCCTGGAGGAAGGTGATCCCATTTCCAAACCCTGCAGCGGTCCAGAAGGATACCGCGATTGATATGAACAGCTGCTGAGAGATTTTAAGATGCAAGAATATCCCAGTTCCACTACAATTAATCTAGGATCATGGCCATGATTGTCCCCATGTTAAATCGTGGCCTGAAACGGGTCTAAATCAATTGATCAGAATAGAGCTGGAAGGAAGCTTGGAGGACTTCTAGTCCTCAGGGGCTGCCACAAAGAAGAGGGAGTCAAGCTATTTTCCAAAGCGCCTGAAGGCAGGACAAGAAGCAACAGGTGGAAACTAACCAAAGAGAGAAGCAACCTAGAACTAAGGAGAAACTTCCTGACAGTTAGAACAATTAACCAGTGGAACAACCTGCCTCCAGAAGCGGTGAACGCGCCAACACTGGAAGTTTTTAAGAAGAGACTGGACAGCCATTTGTCTGAAATGGTATAGGGTTTCCTGCCTGAGCAGGGGGTTGGACTAGATCACCTCCAAGGTCCCTTCCAACTTTTTATTATTATTATTATTATTATTATTATTATTATTATTATTATTATTATTATTATTATTATTATTATTATTATTATTATTATTATTATTATTATTAACCCACTGCTCAAGCAGGAGAACCTATACCAGGGGTAGGCAACCTTGGCTCTTTTATGATTCATGGACTTCAACTCCTAGAATTCCTAGGCCAGCATGGCTCAGGAGCATGGCTGGCTCAGGAATTCTGGGAGTTGAAGTCCACGAGTCATAAAAGAGTCAAGGTTGCCTACCCCTGACCTATACCATTTCAGACAGGTGGCTGTCAAGTCGCTTCTTAAAAACCTCCAGTGATGAAGCACCCACAAGTTTTGGAGGCCAGCTGTTCCATTGGTTAATTGTTCTCACTGTTAGGAAGTTTCTCCTTGGTTGCTTCTCTCCTTGATTAGTGTCTTGTCTTGCCTTCTGGCGCTTTGGAAAATAAGTTGACTCCCTCTTCTTCATGGTAGCCACTCAAATACTGGAATACTGCTATCATGTCCTCTCCCCCCCCCCAGTCCTTCTTTTCTCTAGAGTATCCATACTCAATTCCTGCAACCGTTTTTCATAGGTTTTAGTCTCCAGACCTTTAATCATAATATTTTCCACTTTCTCATATAATGTGCTTTTCTGCACAAATATTGACATTAAACAAAATCTGTGAAGTGGCATTCTTGCATTGAGGTGTATGCAACGAAATGTCATTTTAATGTATGCTGATCAGTGTAGATTTAAAGTGACAGTAAAGTATTCTATTCCATTCCATTCCATATTTTCTGTTCTATTCTATTCTATTCCATTCCACATATTCTATTCCATTCCATTCCATATTTTCTATTCTATTCCATTCCATTCCATATTTTCTATTCCATTCCATTCCATATATTCTATTCTATTCCATTCCATATTTTCTACTCTATTCCATTCCATTCCATATATTCTATTCTATATTCTATTCTGTTCTATTCTATTCTATTCTATTCCATTCCATATTTTCTATTCCATTCCATATTTTCTATTCTGTTCCATTCCATTCCATAATTCTTAATCCTACAGTCAATGTTCATTTGACCCACTGCAAACCTCTGTTTTACATATTGTTGAACCAAAAGGAGAGAACTTGCATATAAAACTAAGTCTACTATTTCACACAGGTTCTCGTGTCTTTTGAAGAGGTGGCTGTGCATTTTTCCAAGGAGGAATGGTCTCTGCTAGATCCCGATCAAAAAACACTCTACCAAGAAATCATGCTGGAGAACTCCAGAAATTTAGCCTTTCTGAGTAAGGACCCTTGCTCTTTGTTCTGATGGTTAGAAGAAATGGTTGGGAAAATGTGACTCTTTTTTTAACCTTCCTGGTGAGAGATTGATTAAATGGCAACAGATAATCAATGTTGTTATTATGTTGACTGCTAATTCTTCTATCAAAATCCCTGATCCCTGTTTTCACCATCCACAATTGTTTTTCTCCAGTTAATGGCAGGTATTTCAAGACAAGCAACGAATTACAGGTAATCCTTGACTTACGACAGTTCGTTTAGTGACCGTTCAAAGTTACAGCGGCACTAAAAAAAAAAGCGACTTATGATCACTTTTTTCCACACTTACAAACCTTGCACCATCCCCAGGGTCATGTGATTTACATTCGGATGCTTGACAGCTGGTTCATCTTGATGACGGGATCATGCGATCTCCCTTTTGCAACCTTCTAGGAAACAAAGTCCATGGGGAAGCCAGATTCACTTAACAATCGTGTTACCAATTTAACAACTGTAACGGCTCAGCAGTTGTGGCAAGAAAAGTTGTCAAATGGGCAAAAACTCGGTTAACACATTTCTCACTTAGCAACATAAATTTTGGGCTCAGTTGCGGTCATAAGTCGAGGACTACCGCGTTTCCCCAAAAATAAGACCCCAACTGGAAAATAAGCCCTAGCATGATTTTTCAGGACACTCGTAATATAAGCCCCACCCCCAAAATAAGAGTGGATCTTATGTTGATTTTTGCTCCAAAAGACGCATTAGGGCTTATTTTCGGGAAAATATGGTGCCGTGTTTCCCCAAAAGTAAGGGCTACATCAACAATAAGCCCTAGCTTGATTTTGGGGGGTGGGCCTAATATAAGCCCTATCCCAAAAATAAGCCCTAGTTTTGGGGTGAGGCACACATCTAAAAATCAAGCTAGGGCAGGGGTGGGAGGTGGAGCTGCACCACCCACCCCGCACCCACTTCCCTTGCAGCCAGGCCTCCTTGCTGGCCCACTTCTTCTTCTGAGGCCGCCTCTGCAGCCAGGCCTGCATTTCTCAGTCACAGGGTTTTCCGGAAGGCCTGTGTAGCCAAGAACCGAGCTATGGATTCAATCCATAGCTCTGTTCTGCAAGACCTCAGCAGTCTAGCACCGAGCTATGGGTTGAATCCATAGCTCGGTACTCGGCTGCTTAGGCTTTCTGGAAAGGCCTGGCTGCAAAATGCAGACCCGAATGCAGCTGCAGAACTTCGGCCCCAGAAGAAGTGGACTGGCTGAGTGGGGCTGTCAGTGCCGGAGGTGAGGTAAGGCCTACCCCGAAAATAAGACCTGGTGCATCTTTTGAAGGCAAAAAAAAATAAGACCCAGTCTTATTTTTGGGGAAACAGTACTAAATGCATCCGTCTGGCTGACAATCTTAACTGGGGCTTATTTTGGGGGTGGGGCTTGTATTGCGAGCATCCTGAATCATCACGCTGGGCTTATTTTCTGGTTGGGGGTCTTATTTTCAGGGAAACATGGTAGCTGTAGATCTAGTTAGCACAGTTCCTTGCTGCCATTATCTCCCTTGTCCTCCTCCAGAATAAATATTACAAAGTTCTTTTCCCCGATTCCTCACTTCCTTAAACTGAATTCCAGCTTTGACTTCGATAGGAATCCATACGTAGAATTAATTTATTGAACAAAATGGGGTAACAGTGCAAATGACCTTGGGCCAGTCACACACACACACACAGCTCAACTCGCTTCACAGGGTTGTTGGGAAAACAGGAGGACATTCTGTTGGATATGTTCGCCACTTGGAGTTATGTGCAAAAATAATGGAGGAGTGGGGTGTATATAAATAAATGCATGTGCTTTATTCAAACAAGTGGATTTTTTTAATTCTTTCAGAAGCTCATCAAATAGAAGCAATCCACTTCTATACTGGGTGGTTTTATTCATATGAATGTTGTAATAACCTGTCACTCGAAGTCCAAATTTTGTAAGGCTTAGACCAGTGGTGGCAAACCTATGGCACGTGTGCCAGAGGTGGCACTCAGCGCCCTCTCTGTGGGCACGCGTGCCATTGCCCCAGCCCTGCCTCCCCCCACAGCCCCCTTCTCACCAGCAGCCCACCCCCCAGGAGAGTTGCCCCCAAGCGCGGTACGCGCAGAACAGCGCAGCCAAGGACATGGCAGCCAGGCAGCGGGGACAAGACTCCATCCTCGCGCCCTGTCACACGCAGATGATGCTATGGCGCGTGGACGGAGGGCGTGGTTGCCATGGCACTGCTAGGCTGCCTGGGTGATCTGTGGCGGGCCATGGAGGCGGTGGGTGGCCCTGCGGGTGGACGGGGCGCAGAGCGGGGGTGGGCGGGAGGTGGGGGCGGTTTTGGGGCACTCGGTTTCTAAAAGATTTGCCATCACTGGCTTAGACCGAGGGTCCCCAATCTTCGGGCCGCAGCCCACGAGTGGGCTGTGGCCTGTTCGGAACCGGGCCATGCAAGTGGCGGGCAAGCACACATGCACACGCAGCTCCACTCATGCAAACAGTGGCTGCTTGTGCTCATGTGCACAGTTCCACTCATGAACAGCTGGTGCGCGCTCACCATCCGCATAGAACTCTCTCTTTCTCCCCCCCTTGCCAGGCCGCAAAGCCAGCAAGGTTGGGGACCACTGGCTTAGGCCAGAGTGTTTAATGTGAATTAGCAGAACCCCTTTCAAAATAGCGCAGAACCCTTGACAGAATTTCACTAGGAAATTTTATTTCCTGTGCTATGAATTCTCATTTTGCTTCCCCTTTGCCTTGCCTCAATTTTCATTCATTCATTTTCTCTGAAGGAAACCACGCTCAGGAGAACAAAGAAGCCTTCCAAATGTTCAGGGATGAAGGAGAGAGGCGAGAGGAGTTTGCAAATCCAGTGGGAACAAACAGAAAAAAACTACCAGCAAATGACAGCAAGGCTTGCCCAACTTCGCCATCTTCTAAAATTCAAGACTTTCTTCCCAAAGGAGATCAGAAAGAAAAAATAAAAGTGGAAAGTGTGGAAACCTTTGAAGGAGGCTTAGATTTATGTGAGCAGTACCCAGTTCGAACTAAAGAAGAGAATACATGCCAAGAGGACGAAAAACATTACAATAATATCCTTTCTAAACATGGAAAAACCAATGTGGGAAATAAACCCTACAAAGAAACCAGGAAACCTTTCAGTCAGAGCAGTTCCCTTGCTCCCGATGAAAAGATCAATTCAGGGGGGAAACCATATAAATGTATGGAATGTGGAAAGAGTTTTGGCCAGCGTAGATACCTTACTTCCCATAAAATAATCCACACGGGGGAGAAACCATTTAGGTGCATAGATTGTGGAAAGAGCTTTAACCATAAGGCTAATCTTAATTCTCACAGAATGAATCACACAGGAGAGAAACCGTATAAATGTGGGGAGTGTGGAAAGAATTTTACCCATAACTTTCAACTTACATCTCATAAGAGGATACACACCGGGGAGAAACCGTACAAATGCGGGCAATGCGGAAAGAGTTTCAACCAGCGCAGTAACCTTAATTCTCATAAAAAAATCCACACCGAGGAAAAACCGCATAAGTGCACGGAGTGTGGAAAGAGTTTTACCCAGAAGGGTAACCTTAAATCCCACAAAAGGGTCCATGTCGGGGAGAAACCTCATAAATGCAAGAAGTGTGGGAAGGCATTCCATTAAAAACGGGTCCCTTAACTCTACCCAGAATGATCCACACGGGAGAAGCCACGTAAATGCTTGGAACGTGGAGAGAAATTCTGTGAAAATTCACGAAACCATCAATTCAGAGGTCCGGGGCTTCAGAAGTGTCCACATCCAGGGACAATAATGGGCCCGAAGAGATTTCCACCTGCCTACACTGCCTTTGTCATCAAGTGGCTGAATCCAGGAACACAACCACATTTTCAGATGCTGCACCTGGTGCATCTGGAACTTTTAAATAATAAAAAACTGTCTGTTTGAATTCTTAACGGACTTCCTAGCTGAATTGTTGGGGTTAATAATAATAAAAATAAAGTTGGAAGGGACCTTGGAGGTCATCTAGTCCAACCCCCTGCTCAGGCAGGAAACCCTATACCGTTTCAGACAAATGGCTGTCCGGTCTCTTCTTAAAAACTTCCAGTGTTGAGCATTCACCACTTCTGGAGGCAGGTTGTTCCACTGGTTAATCGTTCTCACTGTCAGGAAGTTTCTCCTTAGTTCTAGGTTGCTTCTCTCCTTGGTTAGTTTCCATCCATTGCTTCTTGTCCTGCCTTCAGGCATTTTGGAGAATAGCTTGACTAATAACAATAGATGTTTAAGGCAAGTTGTTCTAAGGCTACTCCAGACAATATATTTGGAGAAATTGGGTATGTCTAGTTTAATGAAGAGAAGGACTAGGGGTGACATGTCAAGAGGTCCCCGACCTTGGCCGCTTTATGACTTGTGGACTTCAACTCCCAGAATTCCTCAGCCAGCCATGCTGGCTGAGGAATTCTGGGAGTTGAAGTCCACAAGTCGTAAAGGGGCCAAGGTTGAAGACCCCTGCTCTAAAGTGCCTGAGGGCAGGACAAGAAGCCACAGATGGAAACTAATCAAGGAGAGAAGCAACCTAGAACTAAGGAGAAACTTCCTGACAGTGAGAACAACTTCCCTCCAGAAGTTGTGAATGCTTTAACACTGGAGGTTTTTAAGGAGAGATTGGACAACCATTTGTCTGAAATGGTATAGGGTTTCCTGTATGAGCAGGGGGTTGGACTAGAAGACCTCCAAGGTCCCTTCCAACTCTGCTATTCTAGTCTAGTCCAGTCCAATCCTATTCCTATTCTGTTGCCTTCCATTCTTGTCTGTAAATGATCAGGCAGCTCCACCTCGGACACTGCCTAATCATCTGCTTACCCCCAAGCCACACCACCAGTTCAGATATCCCAAATAAAAGAGAATAACAGAGTTGGAAGGGACTTTGGAGGTCTTCTAGTCCAACCCCCTGCTCAAGTAGGAGACCTGTATCATTTCAGACAAATGGTTGTCCAAACTCTTCTTTAAAAACTCCATTGTTGGAGCATATCTTCTCTTGACTGAGCCACTGTTGCTGGAAAGATTCACATAGGATTTAAAGGGGACTTTCCCTATTTGAATGATCCCGTTATTTTTTATTCTTTATCCATTTATATTTCTAAGCTATCCTAAAGGACCAATATGATGGGTGCTTCTTGTGTTCAAAATATTAGGTTGATGTTTCTCCTTTTCAAATTATTCCTCTTTTAAATTTCTTATAATTAGCCCTTT